GTCCTCGCCCGGCTGGGCCATGAAGGTCGAGTTTGCACCGCTCAACATCCCGCTGGCGCGGCGGCTGCAAACGGTGGCCGTGCTGCAGTGGGTCCTGTACTTCGTGCTGCTGGGTAAGGACCCCGCCCCCGGGCAGCGGCGCGTGGGCTCCGTGTCCTCCCTCGGGATGGTCCGGATTCCAGAACCTGCAGAGAACCTTCCAACCCTCGTTCCCCTGTCGGCCACAGCAGGCGGGTGAAAGAGGGCGTTTGGCGCTAACGTGGATGCTGGTTTGTTTCCTCAGGAGAACCTCATCGCTAATGGCTGTTTAACTTTATTTTCCCCTGCGTTATCTTTTTTTTTTTAATTGAGGTGCATCTTGCCTACAATAAAAGGCGCAGTTATACGGCTACAGCTCGATGACTTTTGGCAACTGTATCCACCAAAATGTAACCATGACTCCATCCAACGCTTGAGCACTTTAACCCCTCAAAAGTTGGCAAACTCGTTTCTCAAACTGTTGATTCATAGATGGAAAAGTAATGTCTAAGTAGTTAGAACCTGATTCCTTCGTCTCCCCACCCTCCTGACAAAGAGCAGTGTTCCCTTTACCGTTTTGGAGATTTCCTGGATGCATAGCAGTACCTTTCTGTAAAGAAGCCTACTCATTGCGTTTGGTTGAGCGGTTTCTGTCTGGAAATAATGCGACCCGGGAGCGTATGTGTTCCAGTTGGTTCCCAAGTTGAGCCCATGAAACATACAAGAGCCGAATCATTAGATGGGGCAAAGGTGTTTAGTTGGGTTTTTTTTCTTCTTCTTCTTCTTCATATTTGTTCTGCTCTTGAAGTACATAGGGGTGATGTGGGAGGAGAGAGGAATTTGGGGGAGACCCTTCTACCGAAACTTAAACTCTTCTGAAGATGAAAATCATGTGTATGCTGTAAGATCATGGATTGTACAGTGTTGGGGTGCCAATAGTAATAAACCCATTGCATTGGAGAGTTTTAAGCTTTTAAAACTGCTTTTACATTTCGAAAGCCTAGATCAGTGGTTCTCAACCCTGGCTCTAGATGAGAATCACTGGAGAAGCTTCTATAAATACAGATACCAGGCTCTGTCCCTGGGATTTATTTGTTTGTTTGTTTGTTTGTTTATTTATTTATTTATTTATTTATTATTTTGATACTGAGTTTCACTCTTGTTGCCCAGGCTGGAGTGCAATGGCGCGATCTTCGGCTCACCCCAACCTCCGCCTCCCGGGTTCAAGTGATTCTTCTGCCTCAGACTGCCGAGTAACTGGGGTTACAGGCATGTGCCACCACACCTGACTAATTTGGTCTTTTTAATAGAGACGAGGTTTCTCCATGTTGGTCAGAGTGGTCTCAAACTCCCAATCACAGTTGATCCGCCTACCTCAGCCTCCCAAAGTGCTGGGATTACAGGCATGAGCCACCGCGCCCTGCTCATCCCTTTAATTTCTAAGTCGTTTGTTTCAGAATGAAGCCTGTACACCTTTTTTTTTTTTTTTTTTTTTCCTTTTTCCTCTTTTAAGAACTCTCCAAGTGACTCTCCTGTGCTGCTAGGTAGAATTTACGGGGGAAAAAAAAAAAGTAATTCAAAATGTTAACTCATTAAGTCCTCACAGGCCACACACCGTGAGGCAGGGTTGATAACATTACACCCCGTTTTGCTCTGGATCAAAGCACCACGGAGGTAACAACACACAACCTTATCCAGCGCTTGGTATGTGCCAGGTGCTATTCTAAGCAATATCCACGATTAACTAGCAATCTTCACAATACCCGTGTGAGGTAAGGACTATTCCTGCACTCATGGTACAGATGAGGGAACTAAGAGGTGAAGTAAATTGCTCAAGGTGATGCAGCTAGCAGGACATGGTAGAGCTGGTTTCAAACCCAAGTATTCTTCCCAAAGTCTCTGCTTTACCCATTAAACTGCTCTCTTTAATGGCCTGAACTTGGAGTCCGACTTCCTAACTGATCATTCAACACATCTCTGATAGCCACTGTTCTTTTCTTTCATGGCACTTATCATTGCTTGTATCTGTGTATGGCTGTGGTGACTTGAGAAGTTTCTTTATGGCTGTCCTAGTCTACAAGCTCAGTGAGGGAACACACAGTATGTGTCTGGCCCGTGGAAGATATATGCAAATACTCGAGATATACACAAATACTTGAGATATACACAAATACTTGTTGAATGGCTGTTTCTGGTCTATCACCCAGAATAGGAACTATCTACCCACCGGATCCCTAGAGTATTAACTCATGTAATCCTCACAGCAACCCGGTGAGAGTGACTACCCCTTACCCTCACTTTACCAATGAAGGAACTAGGAGGTAAAGTAAATTACTCAAGATCACATGGCTCAGTAGTGGAAAGTCGAGACACGTGTGACCACATGTGAGGGGATTAGTGATGAAGACATGACAGGTGCTCAATGACCTGTGCCTAATTTGAATCAAACTACAGTGGTTCTAGATCCAATTCACCTCCATGTTTTCAACGTTTCACACATTTGACATTTGTGTTAGCAGGAGCATATTTTGTGTTATCACATATCTTGGAAATTATATTGTGGGAAATTTCAAACATACAGAAAGTAGACAGAAGAGTATGAATTCCCATATACCCATGACCTAGGTTTATAGTTATTTAATAATTTGCCGTATACGTTTTATCCATTATTTTGCAAAAAATATTTTAAAACAAATCTTTTTTTTGTATAATTTTTTTACCTTTTAGGTTCAGGAGTACATGTGCAGGTTTGATATATGGGTAAATTTTGCGTTGTGGGGATTGTACAGATTATTTCATCACCCGAATAATTGGCATAGTACTCAGTTGGTAGCTTTTCCTCCTCATCCTCCACCCTCCACCCTTATGTAGGCCGCGGTGTCTGTTGTTTCCTTTGTGTCTAGTGAACTCACACATTAAGATATTTTAATACGAAATACTTTAGTTTGCATATTTTAAAAATTAGTATTTTGTGTGTAACCATAGTACTCTTGTCATACCTAGCGAAGTTAACAAAAATTGCTTAAAATCATGTAAACCAAGATCAGATATCCTAAATTGCACCAAAACTACACTTTTTTTCTTGTTCTTTTTTCTTTTTGATAAAGGCGGGGCCTCCTTATGTTGCCCTGGCTGGTCTCAAACTCCCAGGCGCAAGTGATCCCCCTGCCTCAGCCTCCCAAAGTAATGGGATTACAGGTGTGAGCCTCCGTGCCCAAACAAAATACACTTTTACTGGCAATTTGTTTGAACCCAAATCCAAATAAGACCCACGTGTTATATTTGGTTTTTATGTCTTTCGTGTAGAACAGTGTCTCCCCTTTGTTTTCTTGTCAATGAAGCCTTGAAGAAACCATTTGACATGGGTCCTGCAGGACGTCTCACTTTGTGAGTTTGTCTGCTTCTTTGTAGGGTTAATTTGTTCCTCTATCCCTTGTATTTCTTTTAAAAGATGGAAGTTAGAGCTAAATGCTTGATTAGATTTAGATGAAACCTTTTGGGCAAGACTTCTTCCCAAGTGTTGCTGTGCACTTCATGTTACATCACATCAGGACGCACACACAGTGTGTGCTTGTCCCATTATTTGTGTCTACAATTGGTCAGTGGGTCTAGGAAGGAAGTAATCCGAGGTGATGACTGGCATGCTGCAAACTTTCATGTAGTGATTTAAGTCATGATCCTTGCCTGAATTACTTGTTTTATTTGAAACTGCAAAACGGTGATTTTCTTATTCTATCATTTATTCATCATTTATTAGCTGGAATTTCTGCAGTTAAAAATATTGTCTCATCATGTAGCACCATTTGACTACCCTACAATTCAATTCTTACAGGAAAGAAAGGATAAATGCTATCTTCTTTCCATTTAATTATCAAGTTTTAAGTAAGGAGTTGATATAATAGTTACTTCCAATGGTGATGAGAGATGTTTTTTAAAGATGTTTTAAGATCTCTAAATCAAAATCCCAGAATGCATTTTTCTTGCCACCACCAGGAAAGTGAGTTTAAGCTATTAGTACTTGGAATACATTTTAAAGTAGCAAAATGCTTCATTTAGTAATAAAATCAAACAGTAAGCCCTCCTTCTCTGCCCACCCCCTACCCCCTTCCCAAGCAACCACTGATCTCCTTTCTTTTCTTCCTTCCTTCCTTTCTTTCTCTTCTCTTCCCTTCTCTTCTCTTCTCTTCTCTTCTCTTCTCTTCTTTCTTTCTTTCTTTCTTTCTTTCTTTCTTTCTTTCTTTCTTTCTTTCTTTCTTTCTTTCTTTCTTTATCTACAAATGGGGTCTCTCTATGTTGTCTAGGCTGGTCTTGAACCCCTGGGCTCAAGGGATCCTCCCATCTTGACCTCTCAAAGTGCTGGGATTACAGGTGTGAGCCACACTGCACCTGATATGATCTGATCTGTCACCACAGATTAGTTTGCATTTTCTAGAGTTTTGTATAAATGGAATCACATCATATATACTCTCCTTTTGTCTGGCTTCTTTCACTCAGCATAATTATTTTGAGGCTCTTTCTCATATATATCAGTGGTTCATTGCTTTTTGTTTCTAAGCAGCATTCTCTTGCATGGACGTATTGCAATTTGTCCAACCATCTATTGATGAATATTTGGCTCATAGCTATTATGAATAATACTACCATGAACTTTCGCCTACAGATCTTTGTATGAACAGATACTTTCTTTATTCATAGGTAAACCTAAGAATGTAATGGCTTGATTATATGATAGTTGCAGGTTTAAATTTTCCAGAAATCACCGAAGTTTCTTCCAAACTATTACATCATTTAACATTCTCACTGGCAGGGCATGAGAGTTCTAATTGCTCCATGTCCTTACCATCACTCGTTGCAGTCTATTTAATTTTTGCAATTTTTTTTCTTGTGATACAGATCAATTTTAATTCTGGCACCTGAAGCTATATAAAGGTATGCTCTATAAACTTCATGGGACTGGCCGGGCACAGTGGCTCATGCCTGTAATCCCAGCACTTTGGGAGGCCGAGGTGGGCAGATCACGAGGTCAGGAGATCGAGACCATCCTGTCTAACAT